CTGATAAGCTCAAAAGGTGGTTGAAGGTTACCAAAGCTGTCAAAATACAATGCTTTATCTTGAAGCTTTTTATAAGCAACCCAATGTGTTCCAGGACCATCCTTATTATCGAGATTAATAATGGCAGATTCATTTTTCCGAGGTCCTCCTATTGGCAACTCATTTCGCATGAATACTCCCCGAAAATGAGGAATTTTTAACTCTTTAGCGTATTTGAGCAAATCATAGTTAGTTAATGCTCGTTGAGGAAGTTTTATGAGAACTTTTTTTTTAAACATCTTTTTTTTTGCCTCATACCTAATCCTTTAGAGTAAGGTTTCAAATAAAGTCCCAATCCCTGTCGATAGGGTTTCAAGAAAAGACCTTTACCTAAAGAAACATCTTCCATTACTCTATTGTGACGATGAGCTTCTTTCAACTGCTCTTTTGCTGCATTCGCGTTGTTTACTGCTTTCACTATACTTGCTGTTCCACCAGCAAGAGCTCCAAGAGCACTGAGTCCAGCAAAAATTGGAATTAATGGTAAGAGACCACCAACTTTTGAAGGTACTGGTAGAATGCGAGGTGTTAAAATTTTACTTCTACCACCTGCTCTTCTAATAGCTTTTCGAGCATTTTCAACTGCAGCTTTGATTGTAGATTGAGTATCATTTCCCGGAATAATGGAATGTCTAGCAGCATCAACAATTTTTCTTAATACTGTTTGTTTCTGCTTCTTCTTCTTATTTTTAGATGTCTTTTTTCTTCTCATTCCCATACCTAATTTTGATTTGACCTTCATTGTACCAGATATAGCTAAAGCAGCAGCTTTTTCACCTACACTGGAATCGTTAGCTAAAACTCGTTGCCACGCCTTATCAGCTAAAATCCTATCAGCAGCGTTTCTTGCTTGAACGTTATTACGATTCTCTGAATATGCAATATCGTGCTCTTTGCAAGCTTCGTCTAATGGATTTATACCTGTATCACCTCGTGCTAAACGCTTTATCAATTTAGTACCTGGACCACAGTATTGATAACCAGGTATGTGTAATTCAAATGGTAACTTATTTATAAGACTGTTAACTAAACCTTTACCTCGGGAGCGGTGATGTATAATCATACCTCACTCTATGAAAGTTAAAAGTAGAATGACTCGTAAGCTATATAAGGGCTGTATTTATACCTTTTGCGGCAGTCTATTTCAGAATGCGATTCAAGCAACAACATCACAAGCTTCCAGTCGTGAATCTAGATGCGATTGTAGAACAGTATGATAAGAAGCAAGTGAAGCGTCATGGTAGTTTGTTGTCTGGTAGTATTCGTGCAATTTTTTGTGGACCATCAAATTGTGGTAAAACAAATGTACTACTTTCTCTAATTTTACATCCAAATGGTCTGAGATTTAATAATATTTATCTCTACTCAAAATCTCTTCACCAACCAAAGTACAAATTTTTGGAAAAAGTTATAGGTAGTGTTAAGGGAATTAAATATTTACCATTTAGCGAGCATGAAGATGTAATTTCCCCAAAAGGTGCAAGGCCAAATTCTATTTTTATATTTGATGACGTAGCTTGTGAAAAGCAAGATAATATAAGAGCTTTCTTCTGCATGGGTAGACATGTCAATGTTGATTGCTTTTATCTCTGTCAGACATATGCGAGGATTCCCAAACATTTAGTAAGAGATAATGTTAATTTATTAGTTCTTTTTCGTCAGGATGAAACAAATTTAAAACATGTGTATGATGATCATGTTAATACAGACATGACATTTACCAAGTTTCGTGAGCTTTGTTCAACATGTTGGAACTCTGATAAATATGGCTTCGTAGTCATTGATAAAGATTGCAATCTGAATGAGGGGAGATATAGGAAAGGTTTTGACTGCTTCATAACACTATAAATAGAAGGTAATTAGTTCCATGAGTATTAGTCTAGTGTACATCTTTGAACTAACAACATGTTTCGTAAGGAGAAAGAGTATCTCCGCCAAATTGCCAAAGCTAGTGAGGCCATTAGACGGAAACATCGCATGTTAAAAATTGGAAAAGAAGCTGTTGAAAATGTTTTGAGTGAAACTTTTAAACCTATAGTTCAACCCTTAGAGAAAATTGTTAACCTCTCTGATGTTAAACATGAAAATCATAAGATAGAAAAGAAGGAGGAGGTAATTAAAAGTAAAGATGAATTAGATGATAGTATGAATTTTTTGAGTGCTGATGAAGATGAAACATCAGTAATTCCAGGCTTTGAATATGATAAAGTAGTTAATAAATATATATACTTGCTAGATCATAATAGAAAGCAATGTTTAGATACGTTGTACGGAGTATATAAGGTTAAAAATGGTTCTCTCCAGATTGGTGATGCACCAATAAGTTTTAAAGATCACTTAATAAATGTTGGTGATAAACGTTTTAATATTACTTCCGGTTTATTGGAACTGTTATTTAAAAATAAACCTGAAATGTCATACATTAGCGATGATGATATGAATAATTATAAACAAATTCTCATCATCTCCAATGCTCACAGAAAAAATTATAGTTCTTCTGAACCTATACGTACAAGTAAAACTTTTAAATATGGCAATATTATTTTAAAACTTTTTCCTCATAATGAAACACCAAAAAGACGATCAAAAACTGGCACTTCACTACCACATTTTATGATTGCAAAAAAAAGTTTTCAACCAGACTATATCTATTGGGATGATCCTAACGAATTGGTTGACCGTCTTCGATTGCTTATGGCATCTCAAGCAGCTGGGAATCCCAGTCACAATAATGAAATTATGTCAATCATAGAAGAATTACGTGAAGCGCAAATTATATATTGAAAATTATTGTTTCATTTAGTCAGGCTCAAGAAAAGTATATAAGGAGGTGTTCCATCAACTTTCTCTCAGTCTTAAGATGAGCATTGACGTGTTTGGACATCCTCTTAATGAAAGAGGAATTGTAAGGGTCGCAAGAGGACCTCCAGGTCCACCTGGAATTGGTTTTAAAATTAACTCAGAAGGTCACTTCGACTTACAGGGTAGAAAAATTTCCAATGTTGCTGATGCAAAAGAAAAAACTGACGTAGTTAATTTACAACTTGCACAACGTTTAGTCGAAAACGAGTTAAGACTAATATATCAAGTAACGTCTTCACTGCGAAAAGAAATTGACAATAACTATATATTATTAAAAATTCTCGAAGACTCTATAAACGAAAAAATAAAAGTCTTGGAAAGAGAAATAAATACTGATTTATCATATCGAAACGCTGAAATTATCAGTCAATTGGATGCTCGTTTGAGTACTCTAGAAAATGAACGACAAAAAGAAAACAGTAGTGACTGAACTTCATAGTCAGGCAAGGAGGAATTATCATCGCCGCCGAGTCGACATGCGTGATATTGATGAGACTTGGCAAGCAGATTTAGTAGAAATGTTACCTTATTCCAAAGTAAATAAAGGTTTTAAGTATTTACTAACAGTTATAGATATATTTTCCAAATACGCTTGGGCTGTTCCTGTAAAAAGTAAAAATGGAAAAGATGTCACTAACGCTATGAAATCCATATTCATAGAAGGACGTATTCCAAAAAATCTACATTCTGATAAAGGTAAAGAATTCTATAATTCTCAGTTTGAAGCTTTAATGAAAAAGTATAAAATTAATTTCTACTCAACATTCAGTAATTTGAAAGCATCTATTGTTGAACGATTTAATCGAACTCTAAAACGAAAAATGTGGATGCAATTCAGTCTACGTGGAAATTATAAATGGTATGATATATTACCTAAACTCATTTCCAATTATAATAACACTAAACATCGGACTATTGGAATGAAGCCGAAAGATGTTACTGCAGAAGATGTTGAGATTTTGAAAGAAAGATTTTTGAAGCTAAGAAAAATACCTTTAAAGAAAGCAAAGTTTAAAATTGGTGACAAAGTTCGAGTTAGCAAGTATAAAAGCGTGTTTGAAAAAGGTTACACTCCCAATTGGACAACAGAAATATTCACAATAGATCAAGTCTTGTCAACTAAACCTATAACTTATAAACTCAAAGACTATCAAGATCAACCCATTAGTGGAGGATTCTATGCAGAGGAACTTCTTAAAGTAAAATATGCAGATATTTATCTGGTTGAAAAAATTCTCAAGACACGTGGAAATAAAGTTCTCGTCAAATGGCTTGGCTTTGATAACTCTCACAATACTTGGGAAGAGAAAGCAAATTTATAATTTAAATCAAAATTTATTCTAATAATAAACATTGACAATGCCAAATTCAAATATTAATCTCAAAATTGAAACAAGCAGAAATCAATTTGAAACAATTATCACAAAGTGAATTTAATACTCTCTATAATGTAACTGTTTAATAAAATATAATTTAAACATTATTGTAGAACTCTAGTCGTCGAATAAGATCTTCGACAAAGTGCAACATACTTTCATGATATGCACGTTGTAATTTTACATAATTTAAGGTTAAATCAACAATGAATCAACAATGAATCAACAATGAATCAACAATGAATCAACAATGAATCAACAATGAATCAACAATGAATCAACAATGAATCAACAATGAATCAACAATGAATCAATAATGATTTAACCTTAAATTATGTAAAATTACTACGTGCATATTATGAAAGTATGTTGCACTTTGTCGAAGATCTTATTCGAGGACTAGAGTTCTACAATAATGTTTAAATTATATTTTATTAAACAGTTACATTATAGAGAGTATTAAATTCACTTTGTGATAATTGTTTCAAATTGATTTCTGCTTGTTTCAATTTTGAGATTAATATTTGAATTTGGCATTGTCAATGTTTATTATTAGAATAAAATTATAAAAAGCAATTTTTTATTAATATTTAAATTAAATCAATTTTAATTATGAGTTATGTATATACAAGGTTTTTATAAATAAAAAAATACATAAAATTTATAATATTTTTTTACATTTATTTAACATGAAAATCCTTACATTTTATTTTACAAAAATATTTACAATTCTTCGATTTCTGGGATCCTATAGTGACCCCAGGGTAGAGTATCAGTACTCTCGGTAAGCAAGTACCTTTTATCATCATACGGATTTAATGCTACTTTAACTTGTTTAACTGTTTCTATATTATGTAACCGTGACCTAATGTTGTATTGAGTTCTAGTCTGAATCTTAAAATCACGCAAGCATTCAACGTAATCGTCAAAATGAATAGACTTTTTGACGACTCCCGCTTTAATGCCTTTAGCTTTCTTAACGAAATCTTCACCTTCAACGCGTATGCTATACATTTTACTCCGCAAGCCAACAAATTCGGTAACAATTTTACCATTGCACTCGTCCTTCATTAGGCCGAGTACTTTTTTGTTGACTTGCGGAATACCATACGCATTGTTTACCGGATAGTCAGATGTGTCGAACTTGTGGATGTCTTCTTTCATATCTTTATATATGTCTTGACATTTCACTACGTACACTAGACTGTCAGTGTCTGTGTACAACAGTTTACATGCTTTACCATATTTCGGAAGCATGTAACTGTAGTGAAAGTCATAGACAAGCGTTTTCGAGACATCCAACACACTTAAACCCACATAAATCGGTTTATTGAGTAGGACCTCAGTCTTTCGTAATTCGATGGCCACAAGGTCTTCATCGAATATTGCACGACTGTGGAAATTGGGCCGAGAGATAAGGGCTTCGGCACCATATCTGCCGAACCAGTGTGTAACCAATTTAATGTCTACATGCTTGCGAACATTTTCCATGGTCTTACCATACACTGCGTTATTCATTAATTTGAATAAATTCTTTTCAAATTCATTTTTCGCAGTTGTTCGCATGGCAGTATTATAGTCTATATAGGGTTTCAACCATTGTGATTGGTTGAATTGGAGCACCCGATGTATTTTGACTAGTTTGAGACCGTTCCCAAGAGCCTGTTTCAATGCACGATAATGCATCACGTACTTCTCTTTAGGCAGGAGAGTTGTGAGTAATTTCTCCTGCTTAGACATGGGAGGTTTTGCATTAACTGCGCAAAACGGTAAGTCTTTATGAGAATCGTGAAGGCTCTCAGGATATTCGAGATCGACTTCCAACATGTACCCGACTGAAGAGTCGTCGGGTACGTTGAAGTCAAAGGTCTCGTCTGGGTTGGCAATCCACTTGAAACCACCAATTGGTAGCGCTTGTGCCATTGCCCAACCATATAAATTATTCGCGTCAAAATACATAATATATTGGGTGTCTTGCGTAGGATCGAACTGATCCATATAGGGATTGTTCGCTTTAGCGTAACGGTTACAACACTGGCTAATACCACCTCTGATACCCGACTCAATAAACATCATCATGTCTATATCGGTTATAAGTTGCAATGTTATGCCCGTATATTTGAGCATAGCATCCCAAGTTAAACCGGGGGTAGTATAATAGTGTGCTGGATCTAACCTGTACGCGTTTAAACATTGTTCGCGAAAGTTCTCAAAGACATCGGCGAGTAATAACACGTCTGTTTTCATATAAAGGTGAACGTAATCGTTAAAGGTTTGACAATTAAATTCAGACCAGACTTTTTGCGCATGCTCATATTCACCATCGGATATACCAGCATCATAGAGAGTACTATAGAATCTCTCTTTGGCTGGTAATTCGGTGTCATCCAACTTACTTCGCGAGTCTAAATACTCGTAAGGGAAGACACCTTTTCTCGTTAATAATTTAATTTTTTCACGATCTGTCACCGTACTGGCAAATACGGATTCAACAATTTTATATTCGTCAAGATATGACGCTAATTTTTCTAGAGATGCTGCCATGAATCTAAACGAGTCAATGAAGCGTAATTTAACCACACTCCCCTTGATATTTTTCGTAAAGGATATATATTTCTCCTTGTTCAAGGGGAGGAGGTCAACTCGGCCTTCAAAGCTCGTCGATACAGCATGAATTATAAAGTGTGCATCGTACCCACTTAAATTATGAAATACAATGGGTACAATTTGGCACTCATGATAATTCAAGTTGCATGATTCATGCGCAGCACCTCTATATTTGCCAGTAAGATGACAATGATCGCGAACCTTTTTAACATTAGCTGGAATATTCTTACGGCAAATATGGCATACGCTTGCTTTTTTAAAATCAGCAATTTGCTGAGGAGTTAAGGCATCCATAGAAATAGGATTCTTAAATACATTATCAATTTTCTCGGAAAATTGCCTTAACTCGTCAGCAAACCACTTGGCAGGATCATTTTCCTGCCTCGGACACGGTACATACACGGACAATGAGTCATCGTAACTACATTTTACATAATAACCTATACTAAGCAATTTATGACGCTGGAAAATTTCAGTTTTACTTAAATTATCTGTATCTTCTTCAACGGGAAGAAGTAAACTTTCACAGTCGGCATAGATGATAAAAGGAACTTTCTCCTTATTATCATAATTTTTAAAGGTAATTTTACAATTTTCAGCATTCGGTAATTTTACGCTACATACATTCATACGTTTACATTTTTCATCGTGTACATTCAATTTTTCCGCTGATGAAAAATAGTGTAAACAACGATCACAAATATATTTTTTACATTTATGGTTAGTCAATTGTTTGGATACTAACCGCGATAAATTTTTAATCCAAACATAGTGGAAATTCATAAAATCAATATCGTTTGAATCATTGTTTACATTATCTTCATTAACACTTTCATCTATATAATAATCTACTACATGTAACAGGTTTACATGCTGATCCCTCTTCTCTGCGGTCAGATGAAGAGGGTGAACAGAGAAATTACCATATCTTTTGGTAAGACCGTATACATTTATCGAGATATTGTTAAGCATTTCAAATTTAGGTATACTTTTCAGCGCTACAGGGAATTCAATACCATCAAAATTTAATTCATTTTCAATATCAGTGTAACTAGACACACGTTCGGGATGTGACACGTCATGTAAAGCGGAAAGTATAGCCCATTTAAAACACTTATTATCTTTTTCATTTTCTACATTAATACACGCATGTTTGGCTCTTATTTTTGGGGGTAAACTGATATATGAACTCGCACGCATGGGGTTATATTTATTAACATTAATTTCTAACTTAACTATAGACTGCAGATTCCAGCTGGACCCCTTCTCATGGAACTCCTCCACATTCCTCAGGATTGGCTGCTTCAAATTGACCTCGAACCAATCCTCCAATGAAGTTGTGGGGAAGATGCTGTTAGATTTAGAAGAGAATGGAATTGGCTGCACTACCTCCACTTCATTCTGCACTCTTTTAAAATTAGCAGTTAAAACACCATATACGATAATGGGACCATTTTGATTTAAGGCATCTTGAATGTGCTCTTGAAACAAAATGGCCGCATCGTTCAAAAACGCACCTATATCTACATGTACAATATTTAATATGACATACGTGTACAATCGGCACTCAAACGCTGACTCACACATAGCCCAACGCACGCGATTATTAATATTAGGGTCTTGTATACCACCGCCCTCTACCGCTTGAGATTCGAACAAAACTCTAAATCTCATAATGAATTGTAGAATGTTCTGGCAACGACTTTTCTCATGCGTAAATTGCATAGATCTTAAAAGACTTGTTAAAACTTGTTCGTTGCAAGAACATTCTGCAACCCATCGCGCTATAAACTCGTTTTTAACAGCGCCATTGCGCAAACTCGCGAGTAATTCAAGAGCATCCTTGATGAGTGCAATAGTGACCTCGCACTCATCAAGGATGGTCTGATAATTGGGTCGCTTCGCAGGTCTCCCAATGCCTGCAAACTTTCGTTTACCAGGCATTGTCGCGTAAAAATAAATAAAAAAAACAATAGAAATAAATAATATAAAAATAGAACAAAAAATTTATAAACAAAATAATAATAAAGAAAAAAAAATGAATAATAAAGAAATTAATAAAAAAAGAAAAAACGTACTTATATACTAATCCTTAATCTAATAACACGCAAAAAAAGAACCAAGCACACAAAAAACAAGAACCAAGCACACAAAAAAAACTTATAAAATAAAATTAAATGTCAAAACGCAAGAAAAAATACAATAAATAAAAGTTCGCTCTATTACAGTTTGCTTTGCTGCGACTAAGCTGCACTAGCTCACAGAATAGAATGAGTTTCACGGCTTGAAATCCTTGTATTTATAGCTAAATATAACCGCGCACGCGCAATAGCATGGACCTCCCCAGAATACTATTCACGCATGCGCAGACATTGTAAACTCGATCATTTTTAAAATATATATATACAATAGCATATATATATTTAATATTCTGAACTTTTCACGCATGCGTAGATAGACTAACTCTTACTGCGCATGCGCAAAGAGATGAGTCGAGAAAATTTTTTTATTTATTTTTTTATTTTATTTTATTTTTTTTATTTTTTTTTTTTATTTTTTTTTTTTTTTTTATTTTTTTTTTTTTTTTTTTTTTTTTTTATTTTTTTATTTTTTTTTTTTTTTATTTTTTTTTTTTTTATCCAAAAAGCTATGATGCCATCGTCGTAGTCACGACCGCCGTCACCCTCACCACCACCGTCCTGGTAGTAAGAATATACCCACCGGTGGAAAGGTGATGGCGGTGGCGATGAGTGTGACGGTAGTGGAAGCTACGACGATGGCGGCGATGATGGCGGTGGCGATGGTGGCGGCGCCTCGGAATTACCACCACCGGCAACTCCATTTGAGTCAACCAGGAGTTGGGCGACTCTGGAATGGGAGTTCCCCCTTCCCCTGGTGGTGGAGTTTGGAACTAAAAAGAAAAAGAGTTAATTTCAAATTTAAATTTTAAAAATTAATTATACTTACTGCCGGTGGTGGCTCCTCATCATTTTCCCCCGCAGACAGCTCATAATAGCCATCATCCACCTCTAGACCCCCTTCTGCGGGGGAATTGGGGGGAGTTTCTAGAAGCTCATATTCTCTCTGAAAAAATATATTATATTTTATATTATATATTATATTATATTTTATATTATATTTTATAATATATATATTTAATGAGTAATTATTATGTACTTACATTTCTCAATTGTTCCTCAACACATTGCCAGCAGTGGCACCCTTCCATTTTAGGACTGCTCTCGTGGCTCATCTAGAACAGATTATGACGATCCACGAGAGCAGTCCGACTCTTATAGGCAGTACCCCACCACTACCGCAGGCACGGAGAGGGGCGCGCCGATGCCGGGTGGGGGATACTACTCGCGCGGCTCCACTAGCGTGGCACCGTACGCAACTAGCTCGCACGCTCGGTCGACCAGTTACCAACTATCGACCGAGCGAGAATTTTACCATGAGGTAAAGAGTGCAGCACTGTTGCGTGGAAATAAATTTAAAATAATATCTAAAAATACAAAGTCGATAAGAAAGGTAAGCGCCACCTATCGGGTAAACTAAGTCGGTCGGTAAAACAGTTTTAATTAAAAATAATTTCTAAAAAAAAGTTGATAATAAAAGTGAGCGCCATCTATTGGGTGGTCGGTAAACTAATTCAGTAAAAAAGTTTAAAACCACCGACTGAAATGAGCGCCATCTATTGGGTGGTCGGTAAACTAATTCAGTAAAAAAGTTTAAAACGACCGACTGAAGTGAGCGCCATCTATTGGGTAGTCGGTAAACTAATTCAGTAAAAAAAGTTTAAAACGACCGACTGAAGTGAGCGCCATCTATTGGGTGGTCGGTAAACTAATTCAGTAAAAAAGTTTAAAACAATAGACTGAAGTGAGCGCCATCTATTGGGTGGTCGGTAAACTAACTTCAATGTTCAATAAAACAGGTTAATTAAAGTCGGCAACACACTCTGAAGTGAGCGCCATCTATTGGGTGGTCGGTAAACTAACTTCAATGTTTAATAAAACAGGTTAATTAAAGTCGGCAACACACTCTGAAGTGAGCGCCATCTATGGGGTGGTCGGTAAACTAACTTCAATGTTCGGTCGGTAAAACAGTTTCCTACCTTATCGGTCGAGTTGAAATTTTTGTCAGGTTCCTACCTTACCGACTGCTGATAAAGTAGAAATCTGCATTACCGACCGAGCAGTTACCGACTGCAGGTACTTAGCCGAGATCAGAACCTGGGGTAGAAGCCCCCTTGTTATACTACTCTCACTTCCTATTTTCCACTTCCCACTTTCCCATTTCCTAATTTCCCACTTTTTCACTTTCTCATTTTTCTACTTTCCCATTTCCCACTTCCAAATTTCTTACTTTTTTACATTTCCACGTTCTCACTTTCTACTTCCCACATCCTAGTTTTAATATTTCCACTTTCTCACTTCCCATTTTTCACTTCCCACTTTCTCATTTTTCTACTTTCCCATTTCCCACTTCCAAATTTCTCACTTTTTTACATTTCCATTTTCTGACTTTCTACTTCCCATTTTTCACTTTCCACTTTCTCACATCCTATTTTCCACTTTCCATTTTCTAACTTTTTCACTTTTTCATTTTTCTCCTTTATCACTATCCACTTTCTCACTTTCTATTTCCAACTTTCTCATTTCACGCCTTTTGTAATAATTTTGACTATATCCTATTTAAAAGTTTCTAGATATGCACAGAAATTACAAATTCCTTAGGTTTTGCTTTGTAAGTAAACAAAATTACTTTTTATTTTTTTCCAATTACATAAAACTGATTTTTATTATAAATTAAAAGTTTTTTTATTGCTTTTGGAATACAATTTTTGTAAACATAATATTTGCAAACTGATTAAAAAAAACATGGACTGTAAACGAAATTTTAACGAATTTTTTCTGCGTACAATATTCTTGAATTCTTGTCTTAGGTTTTAGATTTTATTTTTTTAAATTATCTCTAATTTCTTGCATAACAAATAGTTTTTTCATTTCTACGTCTTGAATAAAATTATAATGCTCTGTTAGTATTTTTAATTTTTTCTGTTTGTAAATTGAAATTTCCTCTCTGTTTCTTTTTCTTTCCAATAAGTCCTCTCTATTTAATTGAGGGTTCACGTGCAATAAGGGGATACGCGTGGATTCAGCCAGAAATGTATTGTCCAATTAGTCGATTTTTAAAAATGTTTCAAATGAAAATTTTAATCATCAATCCTTATGTAGGATAAAAAGGTGCATCTTTTTTTCCTCTATGAAAAATTTCTAAAATTTATAGTTTTCTTAATAAATAAGAAAAACCAATTTTTTAAAAAGTATAAAATTTCATTCTTTTTTTACTTCAACTCGTGATAATTTGCTCAATTTAATGAATTTTCAAAAAATTCAAAATGGACGTTGTAGATTGCATTGTTCTGAAAATAAAACAACCAGAAAAAATGCAAATATCTTTATAAACAAAAAAGTTATTAATTTTTTCCCAAAACAATGCAAAAACTGTGTACTGCGAACTTTGAGCGCTTCGTTTATCTGGCGAATTTTGGGCAGCAACAAACTTCCAGTGAGAAAGTTTTTCATTTAGTTACAAAGAAGTTTTCTGGAAAGTTATATAGCAATCGGATGAATAGAAAAAAAGTTATCAACGTTTAAAAATCACCGCGCGGATCAAAATTCTAACGCGTGAATTTGGACTCTTGCGTGTGGAATGCAGCGATCGATCTATAGCTAATGTTTACAAACACAAATATATACATCATAGACAAAAAGTGTTTTAGCAGCTCAAATTAGCTACTGTGTTTTTGTATTTGGAAGAAAAATTATTTTTTTAAAGGAAAATTTAAACCTGATTTTTTTCGTGACATATTATTAATTAATAAATAATTCTTATTTATAAAATATGAATAGTGATGTTGTGTCTTATAATGGTAGAAAACGAAAAAGAAATTGCGAAAGTTGGCAACGAAATATTAATAAATTGAACAGAAACAAGGTATATATATCGATTACTGTAATACTAAAAACATTTTGTACTTACACTAAACCAAGAATAAAATATATTTACCTATTAAAATGTAATATTCACTTGAAAATTTAACTATTTGAGACAATACAAATTAGACACAAAAAAAAATTGTTATATAAAGAGAAAAATCAGTCTCTAAAAAAACATTTCTTTTTTTTGTAATTATATTTTTTTTCTTTCATGAAATTTTTTTTCATAAAACAAAATTTTTCTTTGATTTTTTTTTTGTAATTTTTTTTTTTTTTTTTATTTTTTTTTTTTTTTTTTTTTTTTTTTTTTTTTTTAAATTTTTTTTTTTTTTTTTTATCTTTTTTCCTAAATTTTTTTAATAACTTTTGTATCTAAAATTTATTTTTTTTATCTTTTTTCATTAATTTTTTTTTTGCTTAGAAAATGTTTTTGAAATCAATTTCTTTTTGTAAAATTTTTTTTGGGTCATTTTTTTAATTTTACATTTTCTAAAATTTTCTCTCTAAAATTTGTTTTTATTAAATTTTTTTTTAAAATTTTAGTTTTAAAAATTAATTGTTTATAATCCTTTCTCAAAAATATTTTGTTAAAAAAATTTTTGGAAAAAGAGGCTTTTGAAACATATTTTGGTATTTACGCGTTCACAAATGTAAAAGTCCAGAGTAACTGTCTATGATGTTAATTAATGCGTAAAAGTCATGTCATTTTTTTACATGTTAAACGAACACAGGTTGGTAATTTTATTTAATCAAAAAATAAAATGCTGTGGATTGATGCGCGATAACTTTAATTGAAAAACGAAGTTACTTCTTCAATGTTTTATTTTATTTTTCAATTTCACGTATTACGAATAATAAAATTTGATTTTCAAATACATATTAGATTAACATGTTGTGCATATTAGAAATTAAATATGAAAAAGATTTTATTTATACGCG